GAGGAGAGGCTGAATGGAGCCCAGGGAGGGGTCAAGCCAAAATGGGTGGGGACCGTGTCCCAGATGGGGGATCGACGAATGTGTGGTCCTGAGGCTGAACGCGATTGATGTGTGTCTGGGAAAACAAGGGGGGAGAGACAAAAACAGAGTTGGACCGATGCTGGTCATGCACAGCCTTGCAGATCAGTTTCTGTTCCAAGTGCAGTAGCCAGCCATCCATCCAGGGCCGCCGGCTAAAATATGGGATGGCCAGTTAAATTTGAATTTCAGATAAACCTCACATCATTGTTTACATTGGACAAAACTGGGGATCTTCTATTTTTATTTGCTAAATGTGGCCATCCTGTTTCACGGGACTCAGAGCAGGCCTGCTGGAGAGAGCTTTGGCTGGAAGACAGAGGCAGTCAAAGGCACCTGGAGGGAGGCTGTTGCCCACTTCGACCTCTGCAGGGGGGCACAGTGGTCCAGATGGAGTTGCTGAGAATGTGACATCCGGGGGACTTGGTAATGGGTTGCATGTGCCAGGGAAAGAGTGGCTCAGGCAGGCTGCTTTGAAGGGCTTCTCATGAAATACAACATTGACTCTCAGGACTCGGTCACCTGCCGATCACCTGCTCGCCGGGTGGATACCTGAGCAGAAAGATTAAATTATGGGCTAAAAAAATTAGGTGATCACAGGAGGCAAGTGTTTCACCACCCTTGCATTTGCACTTGGTAAATTTAGAAGCGCTCTGTTTCGAGAGATGCGTCCATAGATGCCACCACAGGTGAATGCATCGTGTTTGAAGTGCCAGGTGCTGTGTAAGTCTCCAGGTCTGTCTCTTGCCCTTTGACTCTCGCACAGCTAAGGAGGGTCATGCCTCGTGCGGGATCATTTTGCAGCTGAGAAAGTCGAGGCTCCGGGAGAATGGGACAAGCATGCTCTTGGCTTTGCTGGTGCCAGGGCTTATTTCTCTATCCCCCGTGATGTGTGGCCTTGTGAGCACCAGCCCCGCATTCGGCGCTCAGCAGACGTTGTTGAGATGAAGTGCATCTTCCCAAACTCTCCAGATCTTAAGCGCCAGGATTCGAACTCAGTTCAGTCTGATTTCATTACTTTATAAAATAGTGGTGTGTCCTGTCTTTAGAAGGAATAAAGCCTGTTTAGGGGAATCGATACAAATGCACCTTCTGAGTCCTGTGCCTGGAATTTGGGATCCATCAGCTTGGGATGTGCACGGGGAGTGTGTGGTTGATCTGGACGCCGCGTTTCCTGCACTTGCTTTTTTTGAGAAACGCTGCATCACGTTGCCTTGATTATGCCCAACATAGAAGACCCCTGTTCTCCCACGCCAGAAAGGACCACCTTGGAGCTGTAAGTTGGGATTGGGGGTGCCATTCTGAGCCTGGCGGGAGAGCGTGGGTTACTCGTACATTTCCAGATCTCTCCACATATTTTCATAGAAGCTTCTAGGAAGTCCTGCCTTCAGCATTGCAGGGGGAACCCCTGGGGGTTTCTTTTGCATATTAATTGCTCCACAAGTTGACTTTTGCTCAGCATCTCCCCTTCTACTGAGGGTTTCCAGGCCACCACCCCGGCCCCCGGGGTCTCATCTCCAGGACCTGTGCCCACGGGCCCTGTCCCAGGCTCTCCTCCGGCAGATCTTTCCTGCTTGCTCCGCGTGCCCCTTATAAGGAAGGATTTGGAGCGGCTCCTTGGATTCTGTGCTCACCCTAGGGGAACTGTGTTCTGGGAACTGGGAGAGGATGCTTGGTAGATGCCTGGCGCTTCCACCCAGGCACTGGAAGTCTGGAAGTGGAGTGAAATGGAAGCTCGGAACCTTGATGGAAAAAGTGTAGGGGGAGGCGGAGCGGAGGGGGCACGGGAAGAAGAGAGCTGTGGGGAGACCAGGCCTGGGGGGTGATGTGGTCTCCTGGGGGGCTGGGGAGAGGGCGCGCAGGGAGGGCCGGGTGGCGGCCATAATGCGTTCTCTGCTCTTTCATTCGACTTGGGCTGGCTGGCGATGTGGGTGCACTCGCGAGCACCTTGTCATTACATACACGCCACGTGACCCCCAGCGAGCTCAACCCCGAAATCCCACACTTCCTGTGAGGTTTCTGCAGTCACGAGCTGCCCGTCAATGGGCCACCCTTTGCTTGCAGGCAGTGCTACTCAGGAAGCCAGTGAAACACCAGATTAGGCTTGGGAGCAATTGTCGCCCTCCACCAGCTTTGTTCTGGAGGGAGGGCCCTGCCCTGTGGCGCCAGGTCATGGAGGGCGTAGGAAACATAGCAGGCGAGGCCTGGCGCCCTGGTGAGCTCTGCAATCGTCTCATGGTTCTCTAAAGGTGCCTGGAAGTTTGTGGGCCTGGCGTGGAGGGGCAGGGAGTACATCTCAGGCATAGGGGGGAGGGGATGCCAGGGAGAAGGAATCTGGGGAGCTTGCCCACCGCGCTCTTCCCAACATAGTCCACGTGCACCGGCTCCCCAACCCGGGTGATTGCTGATGATGCTGACTTCAGCGCAGGCACACTGGCTCCTGAATCTCACTTCCCATTTTATTAAAAAGCTTCTCACTGTAAAACTGTTACGCTGGTGTCTCAGGATGGCTTGCCCTCAGGCGCCTCCTACCCTGCTGGCTTCTACACTAAAGGACCATATCAGGCTGGAGCATCCTTGCTGCTCTGGGGACTGTTGTCACCACCACTGGGGGGCTCGGGGGCTCTGTGAGCTAGACTCTATCAGGGCTTTTCCTCTGCAGCAAAACCCCCGGTCCTAGTCTAGTACTTCTGGGCCCCCACTTGGGCTTCTCATCAGGGGCTTCCTTTCCTCAAGGTACCCCCACTATCTTGGGGTACAGTAAGCCTGCTAGGAGGAGAGGTGGGCCTGGTAGGTAGATGATGTAAATAGCATCTCCATCATTTAGTAGCTGTGTGACTTACTTTAACGCCTACCCATTCTGCTCCTTTGCTTCCTCTTCTCAGAAAATGGAGCTAATAGCTGATGTCTTACAGCACTATCAGGATAAAATAAACTAAAAATGCAAAGTGCCTTATACAATCTTTGTCAGCCAGGAGATTAGAATGCATCACCTACTATATCTGCTGCTAACATTCTCATTGTTACCATCTTGTGATCCCTTTCCCAAGGAACAGAATGTTCACAAGACATAAATGACTCCCCTCTAACATTACTTGCATGGGCAACTTGGTGCAACCTCCGTAGAGAGCTAGCGTGAATAAACAACAGGGAGAATACTACAGTCTTACGTAGTATTCCTAACAAAACTGCCAAATTAGCCAACTTCAGATTATCAATATGATTTTGATATGTCAGGTGATGCTGTGCTGCTCTCCTAAGATGAACGGGGCTCGGAACCACCGGGTGTGGTTCATTGTGGCAGGGAACTCAGAACACCCGTGTGTCCTCTGTGCCTTGTGTTTTACTCTGTGCCTTGTGTTTTACTCGTTACTTTTCTATATTGCAACCGGAGAACCCCAAGCCACTTTGCACCATCTTCTTGGCCTCTGTGTGGTATAATTTAATCGTTTATAGATCTAGTTTCTCTTTGGTCTCTTGTCTTTCACCCTAGATAATTAGGGGGGTGACGGGGGAGACATAATGAGGGATGGGCACATCCGTAAACACAGGCACAAAAGTGGACAGTGACATTGGGCTCCCTTATAAGATGGCTTCCAGGTGATCCTGCCTGCTCTTCAATCAAATTTGAAAAGATGATTATCGCTCAAAGTGGAAATTCTAAATTAACAGACGTTTTTGGGGAACACATGGGACTCTCCCCTCCACTACATTTGACAACTGAAATGCCCAAGGGAATATTGAGTGGAGATTGAGTTGACAGAGTCCCTCTAGTATAAAGTAAAGGGATAATAATGGTGATTGTTGCTACTGTTGTATGAATGTAGGCAGTTCTTTCATATCGCAGGGAATACTTCTTATAGCAAGTGCTTAATCATGCATCTTTATGCCGGACACAATTCTGATTGCTTTATATATATTTTCTGATTTAATCTTCACCCCACTTCTGCGAGGTAGGTGTATGAGTAGCCCTATTAACACAGGACGAAAATGAGACACAGAAAAATTCCGCCAGGGGCCTAAATACAGGGCCTAATAAACAGCAGAGTTTGGGGATTTAAAACCAGCCAGTCTCGCTCTGGACCCCTGGCTTCTAATAACTTAAGATATGAATTGACTTTCCAACTCTTCTTTTAATAGCTACCTACTAAAATAACCAATGACCCGTTGCCATTATCCGCAGTGTGTGTTTGGGGCTTGACAACTTGTTAACGTTTAATATTCAGAGCAGTGCTGCCACAGCTATTTGACAATTTCAGACATAAATCTACCTTAAAGATGTACAAGTACAAATTATGCAATTTGATTTTTAAGTGCTTTTCCAGCAATATAAATAATGAAGTGTGTTGGAACTGGCAGGTATAGTACATTAAACTGAGTGCAATTAAAACACTGTGATATTTTTAAATTAACAAGAAAAAAATAAGTGGCAAAATTACGGAATCTGAATCTGTCTTTGCAGGCTCCTCCGGGGGATCCCTGGGGTGGGTGATGGCACAGGACTATTAGTAACATTTCTGCTCTGGATTTCAAATGTGATGATAGTCACATTTAACACAAAGAGCACTTTGATTTGGCTTCCACCGAACAGGCAGATGACATTTCCAACAACATCATCTTTTCAGTTTTTTTTGAAAGCAGATGACAAGGGGGTATTCTGAGAAGACATCTGAGTTGAAATAATGACTTGCCTTCTGGGTAATGTCTCATTGAGACATCTGAAAGTCGGGATTCTCTTTGCTAGACACAAGAAGAATATGCATCCTTCACACTCATGGGCGGGCTTCGCCCTTTCCAAAAGCCAAGAATCTGTTCATTGGGAACCAGGAGGGTGGCACAGCTGTTCAGATTGTTTTTCACCTCCCTCTGAAAGCCTTGAGATGGGGCGGGGGGAGCTGCTCTCACTGGTAATTACTGTAAAGCCGGATCGATACGTGTTTGTTTAGCAAAGATCTCCGCTGACGTTCCCTCAGTTTTGAAGTCAGAAGCATCCAGGCCCCTGACTGATTTGGTTATAAACACTCATGTACCTCCAGATCGCCTGGGGTCCCCTAGAATGGCCATTTACTTGCCTGGCCACTGACGCCCAGTACTTACTATCCCTATCAGGGTTTAGGGTCTTCACGGAGATCTCATTTCTTGGAAACCGGATGCCTGGCCCACAAGGCCTGGTTTTGACTGGTCCAAATGGGGGTCAAGAATATACAAATGGCCTTAGATGGAACGTCGTTCCTCACTTTGCAGTCCTGTATGGTAGTCTCTGAGGGCTGCATTAGCAAAACACCAGAGTGTTGTACACAACAGAATTTTGTGTTATCATTTCTGGGGCCACTCATCCCAAATGAAGGTGTTGGTAGCACCATACTCTCTCTGAGAGTGTGAGGAAGGGATCTGTTCCAAGCCCTTCTTCTAGCTTCTAGAAGGTTCTCTAGCTTCTTGAAGGTTCTCCTAGCATGTAGCAGCATGGCTCCAGGCTTCATGGCCTTCTCTTATATGTGTGTCTCTTTCTAAATTACCTGTTTAGTGAGGATTAGGCTCCCCCTGAACCCCATTATGATCTCATTTTCATGAATCCTATCTGTAACAACCATATTTCCAAGTGAGGTCACATTCTGAAGTGCTGGAGGTCAGACTTTCAACATAGCTGTAGTCAGCCAAGTGGCTGCTGCATAGAAGATGAATTCACACATTCACCTTTCAGTGAGTAGCTGACCTCTTACTTTCTGTCAGTGGATGTCTAGACATCAGAGATAAAACAGTGAACAAAATAGACATACGTCTTCATCTTACACACATTTTTAATGTGGGAGATGGATACTAAGTAAAAAGTATGCTGTCTAGGACTGGTATATGCTATGAAGCCAAATATGATGGCTGCCTGAGATAGTGGGGTCAGTAGGTATGCCCAGACTAGTGGCATTTGGGCAAAAATTCCATTGAAGCAAAGAGTCCACCATATTGAGATCTGGGGAAAGCATGCTCTCGACAGAGATAAACAGTCAGATGCACGATGGTTAAATAGTACAGAAGGTATTTGGTAAGGAGGTTTATTTTTAAAGTACCCTGAGTGTATTTGGATTCTGATAACTGGAGATGGGGTAGCACATTAAGGAGAAGTAAGGTAGGTTAAATGCCCAGTAAAACTCTCAGAATCTTCTGTCACATTTGATCTGAACACTGGCCTGGAAAACCATTTCAGAGGCCTCCGGGCATTCTGACCCTGTTTGAATCTTACATGCATGGGGTTTCAAAGAGACTCCAAGTCCATTCAGAATTTCCTCCTTCCTGATGTGGGAATGAGCCTTTGCACCCAGGATCTCCACTGGGCTCTGCATTCAGCCCCATCTGGAGCCACAACTTGGAGATGTAGCTCGGTTGCTCCTATTTAATAGACCTTTCTGCTGCTGGACAAGCAACTCCAAGCCTAGCTCACTGCCCGTGGAGATCCCTTACATCTCTGAGCTTGCCCAGAGTGCTTATGTATCCTTGATTCCTGCCCTCAACCAGTGCCTCTTAAGGATGACTCTATGACGGAACCATCTGGAGAACCCTAGGTGGCTGATTTCTGGATCATAACCTATACCTGGAGTTTTATGGGTAGGGACCTAGCAAATAAATTGATTAATTAGCATTGATGTATGTTTATATATAATATATAATTATAGAATGTAATTATATATGCTAAATTATACATTGTGTAATGATAAAATATATACTCTAAAAATATGTGTACATACATATATATGTGCTTTATATATTTATATATGCTAAAGATCTGCTCCTAAGAATAACTGTCCTGAAGTATTGACGCTATTCCCCCAGTAGTCAACGCTTTCATTAATAGAACACCAAGAAAAGGGATTCAATGGCGACGTCACTTCTGTTTCCTGCAGAGGCTAAGCGTCTCTGATGGACCTCTCCCTCATGGTAATTGTGCAGGTTCTGCTCCACAGTGCTCTGTGCTCAGGTGTGCGGGGGACTGTCTCATAATAACCACGCTCTCCTCAGATCTCAGCATGTCATTAAGAAATGCAGAGAGATCCAGGTCAGCTTGGAGACCCAGAAAAGAGAGAATGAGCTGGTTCTAGTGCTGGTGCTAAAAACAGAACTGGAGCAAATTTAGCTTCTCATCCCTTCAGGACCGTGTGGACAGAGGTGTGCTAGTCTGGCTTCTCCAGAGTGAAGAATACTTCACCATACCAGTCATCTTTCCTCCGTGTCTTGTGTATACATGCAGGTGATTATTTATACTGAGTCGTCTGGTAGATTCAGAAACTTCCTTGGGCCCCTTAGCACCCCTAATCAAATTTATTCTTTACTTCTCCAAATCGGCAGGAATTCCCTGCTTTAGTTCTTGATCCCTCTCCTCTGTCCTTTATGGGGACAAAAAGCAGTTTCCACAACTATCTGAAGAGTCTCCCCTTATGGAAGATGAGAACATTCTTCCCCACTATTAAATTTCTGTAGGTTTGCATATTGAGTTTTTTAATCTATATGATTATTTGTAGCATGCTCACTTGGTCTCTTTCCAAATCTTCCAGCTTCTTTCCAAACTGAGTAAACACATCTCACTTCTAAGTTAGTTTTTGATACCAGCTTGCTTTGCTCTCCTCCAGCCTGCCTGCTGTTCCTCTCGGAGTGCAGGTCCCAATCTCTCCCAACCTTTTCCTGACATCAGGCCTGATGAGGGGATGCCCTCTCTCAGAGAACTGGCTCTCACCCATGGCACCTACATCCTAAATGACACCATGGACCTGTTCCACGGTCAGCCACGGTGGACTGGACTAAGGATGCACCTGTGTCATACCTGGTTATTCCTGCACTTGCTTGTGACCTGTTGGGGTGCTCCATCCCAAGAATTTGGAAGAAGAGACACTCAGCATAAGCTGTGGGTCCAGAGCAGAGGAGAAGGTGATGTCAGAGCAAAGGGACACTGTGCCCTGTGTACACTGTACTCGCTCACCTGTGGACAGGAGAGGTGGATGTGGCACCTGAGCCTGCTGACATCAGCTGGTGGAGCAGGGAGAGCCCGGCACACACCCCAGGGGTGCACAAGTGAGCCTGCCAGTCATGTCCTTGCTTCAGAGGCTCTGAGAAGACTTGTTCTTGACCTTCAAGGGCAGGGATGGCAAATTACAGCTGGCAGGTCAACTCTGGCTTAGGGTGTGTGTCTGTAAATAAAGTTTTATTGGAACACAGCCACTTCCCTTTGTTTATGCACTTACTGTCTGTAACTACTTTTTTTTTTTAGCATCTCTGGCACAATGAGTAGTTGTAACAGGGTCCAGAAAGCCTAAAATGTTTAGAATTTCGACCTTTATAAGAAAAGCCTCCCACCCCAGTCTTCCAGAAGGTGGAACATTAGATGGGAATTAAAGAAATAGCTTTCCAGTCTTCACATTGTATATTGGTGTGGACTTCAGTTTTTTGACTTTATTGTATAGAGCTATTGGCCTTTGAAATGTATATATTTTACACGTAGATATGCTTTTTACTTACTTGTCTAGTACAGCTTATGCCGTTTGAAGTTCTCTCTTACTGTCTTTATAAACCATTTTTAACTGGCTCGCTATTTTTTCTTGCCACTGAATCTGCGACCGTGTGATGTGCAGGCTCAGCCCGCTGGACATAACTGTCACATGCAGAGAACTGATGTGGACACTGACATCCACAGAGGACCCTCCCACCTGTAACTGACTGGCTTCGCTCCAGTTCTTATCCCCAGCATCTGACCTCCTCTGGGGATGCTCAGAGCCGCAACCTGAGTCTCCCAGCCTGTGTAGTGAGCAGCGAATCTGCATGAGCCACTTTTTGAAGTTTTGTGCAAAAATATCCTTTGTTACCAAAATATCACCCTACAACTTAGGCTGCTAGTGTCTGTAATGCATAAAAACATAGAACTGTCTTTTGGAACAAGGATTTAAATAGGCATTAAAAAAACCCTCCAGGTTTTCCAAGAGCCAGGTGCATATATCCTGGTGTTGGAGGCAGATCTTTGTCCAGGCTGAGACCCTTTGACTTCCAAGTTGAATGACCTGGCACCAATTGCCTAACTTGTCTTGACTTCAATTTATGGTTTTCTAAATTGGAGAGGTATACCTGCTTCAGAGAACTCTGTGGGGATTCACTGAGATGAATGCATAGAAGAAACCTGGGGACACTGTCCCACATAGATTCCCGATGTGAGGAGAGTGGGCTTGGAGAATTACTTACAGATAATTCTTGTGACAAGCTCAAGTGCACATGGTACTCGAGCTTCCTGGGATCAGCTGTGTTTGGAGAGCATCCAGCTGTTGGATCACCTGAAACACCTTTTTCCTTGGCTCCAGGCACATTGGCTGTGTGTGTGTGTGTGTGTGTGTGTGTGTGTGTGTGTGTGTGTGTGTGTCCCAATTAGACCAACCTCTTTCTCACCCTAGGGCTTGTGTGTGTGTGTGTGTGTGTGTTTATATCCCAATTAGACCAACCTCCTTCTCACCCTAGGGCTTCTACTAGTTGACCCGGTTTGGACCTTCTGTCTTTCCAGGTGTGGCTGGTTTATGCTTTGTCATTTTTCAGACCTTGGGTCGCATCTCAGTTTTTCAGACCTCTCTTGAGCTGGTCCAAGTCAGGTTCCAGCGTGTGTCCACTTGTTGAGCAAGCAAACAACAGTTCCCTCTGGGACACTGCTGTGCTGGGGGCTGCAGAAAGAAAGAGAATCAAGAACATGTGACCCCGATGCTGCCGAGTGAACCAGCTCAGCCCATTATCAGAAAGACTGCGAGTCCAGTTGTGTGGACTATGCAGGCATGGAAGGTGGGAAGGCAGGGCCGGAGGGAGGCGAGCATGGGGAGTTAGTTGTTAAACTGAGACCGAGTTTTGATGTAGAAAGACAAAGAGCGTTCTGGAGGTGGATGGTGTGGATGGTTGTACGACACCCGCGTGTGCTTAATGTCACCCAACTGTGGTAAAGATGGTAAATTTTATGTCACATTTATTTTGCCACAGTTCAAAACAACTGGAAAAAAAGAAAGAATAAGAGGGATTCTTTGGCAGACAGCTGCAGGCAGCAGGGCAGGGACAGCGGGGGCCTGCTCTTTGGGGCTGCTGGCTCTGGGGGCGTGGTGAGGCTGGGTCAGCTCTGATGGGGGTAGTGAGAGGGTGTGCAAAGTGTTTCTAGTCTCAGGTTTGCCCATGGGGGTGGGGGTTGTGGTCTTCACAAACAGGGGACCCACCCCTTGTCCTCAGCACTCTTACAAGGAAATAATGAGCAGGACAGCCTGATGTCTGAAGAACTACAAAGAGCACCCAGCTGAGACCACATCTGCTTTCTGTGCCCAGGGTTCCAGCACCTGGCATATTGCCTTGCACATGATAGGTGCTTTGTGGATACTCGTGATGGGCAAATGAGGCGTGGTTCCTCAAAGTTACCTTTCCACTCACTGATTTGATGCTAAGGTTTATTTCTCATGTGAGCGTTTTTTGGGGATCCATAAATAACACCTCTCTTTTCCATGTCTGAGATGAGAACAGATTGAGAGAGAGAGAGACAAGACCAGGCAGGAAGAGATCAAAATATCACTTTTTTGTTAAAATTATTTGGAGACTCTGTCTCCAGCAGGTAGGCTCGTGTTCCTCATCCAAATGAGACAGACTTAGCAGCAGAGCAAAAAACGTCAAGTCCTCTCCCCAGGGACATGTGGCGCTTCCTCCCCACAGGCTGACAGACCCTGACAGAACAGGGACTCAGGACCGCACACACCCTGGGCAGGCAGATAAACCTACAGCTCCTCTTCCGAGGACAGAGGGTGAGGGTAGAGGCTGGGCTTGCCTTTCAGGGGCTGGTGGAACACGGGGGAGTGAGTGGGAGGAGAAATACATATAAAATAGCTTCCCTTGCTGCGATTTTAGAGCTAATAGGTTTTCCCGGGGTGGGGGATCTTAGGACCAGCCCATGTCCCTATAACTTGACCATTTTCCATTTTAAGCATGAACTGCGGGTGGGCTCTCTTCTTCCTTTTCTCCAGGACCCAAGTGGACATGATGAGGCTTGATTACATGATACCCCACTATTTCCTAACGTGTAACTGCCAGATAAATTGTATGATGTAGCCAGTTTATCTTAGATTGATAAAAACTTTTCTATACCTAGTAAGAAATGTTTCTAAAATATAACATTTCAAGGCAAAATACCTTGATCTAAAATGTTTTAGGAGCTGTGGTTTTTTTTATTATGAAATATAAAGATTCTTTATTGCAAAATTTATCGCACACACAGACGAGAAGAGTCAACATGCACAGAAATCTAAAGAATACTTCAGAGAAAGCACAACTCGCATTGTTGCAGCATGCCAGCTCATCAAACACTTCTCAATATCTGCAGTTCACCATGTAGCTCTTTTTCTTTGTATTCAGGAGTTGTTTTCAGAGCTGGAGGAATAACTGAGCATAAGTAATAATACAGAATAAAGAAAGGAGACATTAACAGCTTGTCTTACAAGTGGATCAGGTAGGACTTACATACGAAGCAAGAGTAGTGGTAACTTTAGCTTGTAAAGCTTTTGACACTTCACACAAAGCTTTGATGGAGGGTCAATGGATTAGGCGAAATTGTAGGCCATTCTGTAGAGATTTCATCAGAACTGATCTGACTTTGGTCCTCTCTGCTCAGTGTTGACTTCAGCCATGGTGCCCACAGAGAGTGGTAGAATGCAGTGCTTCTGAGAACTGGGTGAAGCCCAACACAACTCAGGCGATGGTGGTGTTGCATTGTCAGGCAGTGTTGCATTTTCATGGGGTGTTGCCTTTTGTGCAATAGAGAAGCTTACAACACTTTTGGGACTCCCATTGGCCTCAGAATGAAGGCCAAGTTCTTTAACGTGCCCAGAAGGCCCACATTAATCTGCCCCGTCTTTCCAGCATCTTCTTTCATTAGCCCTCAGCTTATCCTCAGTGCCTTGATCACCTGGAAGTAGTTTATGTCCACTGGAAGGAACAGTCCTTCTAGTTTTAAAACCACAGGTTTCCATATTGTCTCATTTCTTGGGACTCTTAGCATCTTATTCATATTTTCATTCCATCCACAGGCCAAATGAAATACTTAGCTATTCCATTTATTAAGTGTTTATGTCCTAACAGCTTAGTAACATTTGAGAAAAGAACAGATAAAGTGGAGGAAAAATAATTCTGTTTCCTTCTTAAGTAATCACAACTAATTACTTACAGGATGTGTTTACCTGTTGGGCACTACACAGTTTCTCAAACCTTGGGATTGGACTGGACTCCCCTTACACATTGATTTTAATTCAATCATTTTTTTTTAGCATAGCGAATTCTGAAAACCCAGCTTTGCAAAAATATAGAATGTAGTACAATCTAATATCAGAACTGTGAACTACCTGGAACTAATAGGGCAGGCACTGCCTAGCCGACTGAGGATTGCTGTACTTCTCTGGAGATTTTTAAAATACCTTGTGATGCCTGTGTGGATTCCCTGGGCACTCTGGGGTACCCTGACACTCAGTTTGGGAAGCAGGGTTCTATTCCTTGGCTCATGCTGCTTTGCTTGAATGCTTCTCCTCTCAGTTCAGCTTCTTAGAGCTCATCCTTCAGTTCTCAGCATGGATATGATGACTCCTAGAAATTTCCTTTTAATACGGAGCTAGGAGGAGTTTCTGCATGCTTCCTTAGCATACTGTCCTTAATCCTATTACTTTAGCTTTTTTGCACTGTAATTTTATCTTGCTTCTGACTGGGCTTTAAGTTCCTTGAGGGGAAGAGACTATAACGACTGTCATATTGCGGATGCTTTATAAGCACATGAACTGAATGATGAATGAAGTTATACCTACATTTTCTGAATTGAAGAGATATCTCTATGGGTCAGTGTCTCTTGGCATGAATAAATGCACGAGGGTGGAAATGACTGATCATTGAATGAAGGAATGAACGAAGGAATGAAAAACCGATTGGATTTTGTTCAGAGCGAGCTTGTAGACTGGATGAAATCAAAGTAACAGTTCCAAACAGGTTGACACAAGGGACTCTTCATTTGCATGAGGGCGTCCTTTGTAAAAGCCTCACCTGAGGGACCTGCTGTGTCTCTTGCCCCCTCTGACTTCCTCTGCTGCAAATTCAGACCCCCCTGTTACAAGCATGGGGCTCCGGGCATTGTAAGACATAGATGGTGAGGTCATTTTGATCCTCTTGCGTTTATTCATGTCAGGAGACCCTGACTCATAGACACATCTCTTTGGTTCAAGAAATGTAGGTGGAACTTGCTCCAGATATGTTTGTTCTTTCCTTCGAGGGTAATATATCAAGTGGCCTGATGGC